TCGTCTATCGCCGATGTAAACGTATCGGCCAATGATCACTCTAGCGTGTATCGATAAGCGTACAAAAGAAATAGACGCAACGAGAGCAAGTGTATCAATAAGAAAGAAGGTTGGCCAGCACGCGTGCCTCTCGCTCGCGTTTCTTGTTGTGCCACCTAGAAAAACTTTTCGCTGCTCTTTTACGACCGTGTTAAACTCATTTGCCAGTCCAATTGAATTTTCGACTTTTCCTCGTTAACGCTAACGAGGATTCTTCAACCTGCCAGCCTGGCAGCTTGACTCTTTCGATGTGTAACAAAACGCCTTACAAATAATCCCAACTTAGACTCGGCCAATTTATACGTAGTCGAGTTCAATTGACCGAGCTAGCGAAACTTTGTCACACCCTGTATACCGAGTATCGTCTAGGATCACTGCCACGCCAGAGACACAGATATATTTCCGTCGGCTTCTATCGCGAAATCGTATTGGCACGTGCTGCCAATTTTATTCCTACAGCTTCCTCATAGTTCCCTGATAGCTTCCCCAGGTAATTGCTGTTCCCAGGAATCAGTCTTCTCGAGATTGGACGTCTTCCAATAGGTCGCGGAGGCGCGTGTTTCCCGCAACCGCAAACCCGACCAAAAAGGTCTTTGACACATCTGTTGGGGGCAAGCCAAAACCCAAAGTACAAGCTTACACTGGTATAGCGTGCACCTGGATAAACTGCAGTTGCTCCCGAGGGACGTCGCGCACAAAGCGCATGCGTTGTCTTTCTTCTTCGCCACTGAGGAGAATCGCAGTTTAAATGGAAACGGAGAGTACGGGGGACGCCGCACAAAGCTCCTCGCTAATGTGTTTTGCGGTTTTCCACAATTTGCCAAAAGTCCGGACGACTTCTTGGAAACGCCTTTTCTTCCATCTTCGTTCTTTCTTTTATCAAATGCAAAACACACAACCCCCTCGAAATAAAAATAAAAGTGGACAGCCAAGTATTTACGTGATGAACGATACCATCACGTGGGACATTTACCTCGATGCTCGGTCGTGACGTTCTAAAAAGAAAATGTTGTCGGGTATTCTGAGCATTTTTTCGAGTTTACGCTTCTTCTCCGTAAGCTATCACTTTCTCGGGAATCTTTGTTAAGAATTTGTAAAAAAAAAAAAATTGGATGATATCTTACCTGACATTCCTGAAAACCTTTAGTGGCTCTTATCAGCTGTTCGGTCTGCTCCAAGTGTGTTTTTCAAATTTGAGTAATTAGACGTTTTGTAGAAACGATCTTGTAAATTCCCAGTAAGGGCCACCGTGCTAGAATTTCCCAAGGGTTAAATGGGTCAGGTCGTCCCGTTTGATAATTTGCCATCGTTAAGAAAATCGTCAGCGTCATCCGAAAAGCCAGAAGCGACAGCGAAGAAGGAAGGAAAAAGGCGTCGAGATGCACTTGGATAAATTCTCAGGATCGAAGTGCACTCCGATCCACCCAGCATGCAACCATCGAACTCATACATCTTTCCCGCGAGCCCACCGAGCCCACCGAGCCCACCAGAGGGATTCCTCTTCCCATACCGATGTTCCCCGCTCCTTAGGATCGTCCTATCCCTCTGACCCCGTGAACCCCAGGCCACCCATTCCATCGAGTATTCCTACCTCTGCTCTCTCGGCTCGCCGTCGCCCCCTCCCCCTCGACGTCTCTCGTCGACGCTTCCTCCCCCACTTTTCGGCGTCGTTCACGTCGACCTCTTCTACGGGTGGCCGCGCCAACGACCGCTAGTCGAAAGCCAGCCGCTAAGCCGAGAGGACCGACAGCGAGCAGCTCAGCTGCATCTTCGTGTCTCCTCGCGTACATTATTGACTGACACAACGTCCTCTTGTAATATCCTCGTACCGCTAAGATTATCCTCGCGAAAATTTCGGAGTGAATCGCGGCCATAAAGTATCATTACGAGAGGGCAAAAGAAATTTGGAAAGTTTGAAAAATTTATTCACAGTGAAAATTGTGCGTTTCAGTGATCCGTTTGGCAGTGTTACCGTCATCGCGTGTATTTAGATAAATACAGGCGTACTCGTGATAGAAAGTGACAGGTATTGTCGATCGTAACGAATTTACTGTATTTTGACGAAATTTTAAAGAATTCTTCGAGTTCTACGGAGGAAGTATCGTAACCTAATAAATCGATACTGACTCTCGTGTGTTTCGTCGAGAAGATAAAGGTGTTTACACAAAGATAAACGAATCGCGTACGCATGACTAGCTAGCCATGTGTCGGGCAAGTCTCGGGACCCCTGACCTCACCAAACAAGCAAATCAGTGAACCTCGAGGTGATCACCTCGCCGGGCTAAGCTCCGTCTCTACGATCGACCCTTGACTTTTCTCTTCGTAAGAAACTTGGCGAAAATAGAGCCACGAATGTGCCGCAGGTGCCAGAAACGCAACATGAGAGGTAATTTTAATTATAAGAAACGTATAATTATAATACGTTAATCCTCTTACTATACGACAGATCCTATCGATCTATGCCAGGACCGACTTTCACCAAAATTTCTACTATAATTCTCAATGCTGAGCATTGTCAAATATTAATTTCCCAATGGCAAAGAAAATATATTTTTTTTCTTTTCTCACGTTGGCTACGACCATGCCGCGCAACGCAATCACCCGTATGAAATCATCGGTCTGTAAAACGATAGTCTTATGTCACCGCCGCAAAATCGACATGTGGGTGTAATTAGATTCCAAACGGAAAAGGATATCGACTGCTCAGGCCTTCCGAGAAGTCACACGTGAGAAACAGGTGGCCATGAGAGAAATAATTTCATTACGAATTAAAGCGGATCGGGTGACCATCGACAATTCCTTGAAGATTCAAGATTGCTAAATTCCCCGGCAGATTTATCTGTCCGGCTCATTCATATGCGCCTTAACGGGTTTGCTGAAGCACGATAGTGGATCGATGTGGGTTAGAGTGCCGATAACGTGTGACTCCTACTCGTTAGCATGCACCAACCAACAAGTTAACTACATTCAGGAATTGCACGCTTCCCTTGCGACTTAACTCTCCACTGTTTTATCTGAACTTACGCGGATTGAGATTGCGCCTATGTACTCATACATACATATAGTACGTGCAAAAGTAAGAATTACCAGGGGTAAACTAACCTAAGAAATTTAATGAATTTTTGTCAAACAGTCCATTTGGACTCGGTTAAGTATTTTCTAAAGCGTCAAGATTGACGAGTCGTGACAGAGCCAATTAAACAGGTCGACCCAGCCGCAACCGTTCTCCTGCTGTCGACCTATCGATTCGTGAATTTCACGTACCGTTAGCTTTTCTCGCGGAGAATCCCGTTAGCCCGAAGGAATCCAAAGTTCCCAGGATATCATCGTTACGAAGATTGTCCCGGAGACAAATCGGGATAAGTCTCGGTTTACTCCTCCAGGCCCGGCAGCACGTTAGCGCTAGTACAAAAGACTGTCACGAGTCCCACGAGTCACGAGTGCACTCGCGCAAATGCATCCAATTAATTTAATCGAGGATGCACCTCGGTATGCACTCTCGTCTATATCGATATATTGTGCAGCCTTTATTTTCGGCATAGTAAACATAAACAAAATGCCAATGCGATTCGGCGCAGTGCCGGACTGGCTGGCATCGCTGGTTCTCTGCTTTTATAAACTTTGATCGGAGTCGCATAATCGAACCTTACTATGAATAGTAGCTAATTGACCCAATTGAACTCGGGACAGGGCTCTGGCACGAGGCACGATATAAATACGAATGCACTTTGATATCTTGCATCGGACATACAGGGCTATTCAGCCGGAACCAGTTTCGCTTGACAGCTGTCGTGCGATACTTATGATTTTTCATAAATGGACATTTTTTTTTTTATTTTTTACAATACAAGAATATTTCACCTTTAAGAGGCGGACGTTAATTGATTCGTCGCAGGTAATAACACGTGAGCGCGGAGACCTGCGCCGCGACGCCTAAATAATTAGAATGTCGAGAAAGCAAGCTTAATCGCTAATCGTTGAGTTTAATTTATTCGCGGAACCTGACGTATCCCGGCAAGGAGTCTCGATACTGCCGATCTAAACCATCGATATACCTGGCAATCGGCATTCGATAATACACCTGGTGTCTACTGGTACCAGATACATTTTTTAACTTTACATCCGGTATCCGGAAACACCTGAAACATGCGTGAAAACCAGACTGAATGAGAATCGAAGCGATATGCTGATTTGGACAAAGCTGCCTGAGTTTCCTATAAATGCGTGGAAGGTGTCGGGAGAAACTAGGAACTCTTGGGAAATCACGTACGTGACGGAGACCGGAAGATCGTTGATTTTCAAGATTGAAACCGGAAGTCCGAGTAAGCTGAAAATACAGAGATTGCGCAGCCGTTGAAAATCGCATTTCTCCAAATATTTACGCGATGATAAAGAGGAATCGCGGACTGTTTGGATCTTGCGCGATCGATAGACGATGCCTACGATCAATAGATCAAGATCTGGTTCATCGGATCTAGGTCGGCTAGGTTGCGCAAGTCGATGAGACCCTGTCGAACTTTTACATCCGTAAAGTCGAGGATGCCGACGTCGAAGATCGTGGCGCAGGGCGTCCTATTAATCTCGAGGAAGAATAAATAAAGAAGAAAAAAAAGTTAAGAAAAAAGGTACAGGACGGAACGGAGGAACCTGAAGAAGGCGGAGGAGTTCAGCGTGAAGGCCGCAAGAAACACGATCACCGCGTGGAATGGAAAAGATTTGAAAAAAAAAGAAAAAGAATAAAAATAAAAGAAATTCTCAAACAGTGTTCTTTGTCCTGAAGGTTTAACGCAGTCTCATGCCATTGCCATTTTTTTTCCTCCATACGGTTTTCGATAGCCATTCGATGCTCAGCACACGTTTCCAACGTAACAAAAACCTGTTGATTCTCCGTGCCAAGTTTCAAACGACAAACGCCACCAGCCGCTCTCTAACGCTTGTTTCTGTCCACTTACTGATTACAGACTATCAGTTCCCGATAGACGTTTCCGGCGTGGCCAAGGATCATCCATTTCTCGAGGCTGATTCTCTGCAGAGTCTCTTTCGCAGGCTTCACGCGCTGAATCGCTGTGCCAATATAAAGTTGGACACGCATCACACGCATCACACGCATCATCATCACAGCACGAGCCACAGCAAAAACGTAAGTAGCCCAAGACTCTTTAAGTATCTTCTCCATCGTCTCATCCATCCCGTTTCTCCCGTCTGCCCTGCTTGCCTTGTCCGTCTATCTTGGGATTTTCCTCGAAGGGCCGAGTAAATCCTCCCCGGATTCTCGAAAGGACCTTCGAGGAATTCAACGAGTGCTTCTTCGCTCGGGCCAGAGGACCGAGAAAAGATCCTAAACGGAAATGCCAAGATAAATCGGACATTGGTTTTACAAAGGTTCCTCCCGCCAAAAGGAGTCTTATGGTAAGGGTGAGTTTGGTCTGGTCAAAGAAAGGAGAGACGGAGGAAAGAAAAAGGAAAAAAAAAAAAAGTATATTCCTGGAATCCCATGGTCGCCGCAAGGCCGTCCACCTAACAGGATTTCCCTCTTTACCTATTCTCTCTCTTTCTCTCGTTGCTAGAATAATAGAATCTTCGTGCGGCAGAATACAAATAACACGGCGTAGCGTCGGAACAAAAAATATAATAAGAATTTGTATTCGATAAAGCCCTCTCGCATTCTCATTTCTTATGACACGTTCGCGTTTATGGTGATTCTTATGCACATGGTGAAAGCCCTCTTCTCGTGCTATTCTTACGCTACCGCTGCGAAGGGACGAACGGAATAGTAATTAACGGCTGTCACGTGAATCGAGTAACTCCAAGGGGCAATTACCCTCGGAAGGTACAGGCGTCGCTATGGGCCTACGTATTATCGTGTACGAGGTATAATAAAGTATGGACTATACAAGCTATGAAATTTCCTGGCAAAAAGGACTCCTGGCAGCTCACACTCGCCTCCGACTATAAGAACGAACGGCCTTGCAGTCTAAGCGTCATAATGGCAAAATGGCAAAGAGCAAGATCTTCCTTTAAGTTTTTAATTATCGACAGTCAACAGGTATCCAAGCTCGATTCCTGCATTTGGATAAATTGAATCATCGCCTCTATAAAAAATTTATATTTTTTTTTTCTTTTGATCGTATTCACCCGTCAACGAGTCTTTGGACCTTCGTCGATATTCCTTCGTTATACGAACGAGCGCTCTCTTGTTGATCTAATGATCGAATTGGCAAATTGATTTTGGCAAGCGCGTATCTCGCTTTCTCGATCCTCTCAAGCTCCAGGCCATTCGCGAACGATCAGCGACGTTTCGATAGATCATCGGCAGATCGTGACTTTCATGCCCATAAATGGTTTTGACGCGTGCGTACGTGCGCAAGAGTCGCGTACGAGAGCCACGTATGTCGACGTGACGTACATACCCACCTGCGTCTGCGCTTACATGCCTCGTACGTACAAACTTGACCACTGCAGCCGACAATCTACGGTAACAGCTGCAGCTAGCTCTCACCGGAAATACATTTTCTTTGGACAACGAATGATAGATACTTCGGTGCCTCCTGAACGAGGCCCCTCACTCTCGAAACGACTATTTTGGAAACGGCCTCTATTTTCGGCCAGCACTCTCTACCCCGTTTTGCAATACTTTCGGTTTTGCCACTCGCTTAGCTTGCGGCTTTTCTTTTGCTTTTTCGAAATTCCCCCTGGTCAGACGACCCACTGCGGTTAATTCATTCCTTCCGGAGGTGTCGCTGCTTCCGGCTGGGTTACGTCGAAATATCAGCATCCCGATAGAGGATCACTGATAGTACTTATTCGTCTACCGTACCCACCTGTGTATCCTGTGTACGTCATAAGTGTGCGAAACGGAGAAAGATCATCAAAAGAAATCAACTATTGCGAAACGAGCCTAATTATCTTTTAGTCTTCGTTTTTTCTTTTTTCTTAAACGCGCCATCCGTCACACGTTTCTTAACCGCGCTCTCACATTCGACGCGTTTCCATTGCGCGCTCTACGAGGCGGCACGCGTAATTACGCATCCGTAGCCCGTTGTGCGTAAAAGTTTAAAACTGGTTGGCAGCACGCGATGGGAGAGCGGCAGACTGCGCGGCACGGTTTCCAGCACCTGCGTTTACGCTTACCTCGCCATGTCGGGAACTGCGTGTATATCGCGTGTGCTTGTCAGACCTTAAAGGTGCCTTCACAACGGGCCGTTCGTGTCACGTCATAATAAATACGGGTAGTACGATACACTGTAATTTCTTTAAAGTCCTTATATTCTCTTATTAAAATAATTCGAGTTCGAATTACGGAACGTTCCTCGGTCACCGGGTGATCGGTATGAAATTTTGGAAAAAAATGAACGCTCGTTCGACGCAACCGATCGATTTGCGTCTGGACAGTCGTCAGCGAGCACGTTCAGGCTAACAGGCTCCGTACTAGGAGAAAAAGTGAGCTACGCAGAAATACCGGTATCGCAGAATGTTGAAATAGGCTTTTCGTTCCCGCACTCGCGTTCTCCACGAATTTATGGCGACCGGTTTTACGATCGTTGGAATGCCGGTCTGTCGCTGAAACTTATCGACAGGTACGAACAGCCCGATCGCTCACTCCTTGTCTTACGATACTCGGCTCATCGTTCGCGCACCAGATACAATTCCAAGTACCAAATCCACATGAACTCGCACGATGCTCCAGTTTCCATGAGACCGGCCGGTTCGCTCTTCTGCGGCGTCGCAACCAGAGGATGGAAACGGGCACGATCGGTTCGCCGGTATAAGCCATTGGCGTGCATTACGCAACCGGACGTAAAAATTGTTTCCACGGAGGCGCGATCAGGGTCGAGGAAGGAGGAGCGCGCTGACTAGACAGCGTGGCAGCAAATGCCAGCAAATGGCAGCAAAGGAGACAAGCAAGCTCAGTAACGAGAGGCCGAAGTCGCCAGCCGAGCAAATAGGCATATAGGCAAATAGAGTCTCGCTGAGGTGGGACGGAGAGAAAGAGTGAGAGTGAGAGTGAGAGAGAGAGAGAGGAGGAGAGCAGCGTGGAAATCTCGACGCGACTGATTCGCTCAAGCGACCGGTGATTAACGGTCGCTCTGTGAAAACGATTGAAATTTACGAGCAGCACGATCCAGCACCACCTCGTTGCGAATCCGTAACGCGACGTATTTCGCAAGGATATTATTTGTCTCGTCTCAGCCCGTTTAAGGATATCGAGAAGGAAGCATAAGAACCTCGCTGCCACTTCTTCTTAAGCGGGATAAGAAATTGTCGAGTGTACGTTGGTCTTTGACTATCAGCCAGACGTATGGCTTTTGCAATGGCTGCCACCTCGTTAGATTGGAATCGTTAACGGACGTGTTTCTGGCGTACGTTGCCTTGATCCTACTGTGAAATATTTCTTAGCCGGAGTGTACTTTGCCGGCACTCGATATTCCAGACTGCCTGGCACGGCGACTGGCGAAAAACGTCTATTGGAAATCAGGAGAGATCTTCGAATCTCCGGGTGCTTATAACACGTATAGATAGCGCTGCTAGTGATGAAAGACTGGTTGACGGTTCTTGGTATGGACTTTGACTTTTTCTTTATTTCGTCTCTGAAGCCGATGAAGAAATCAACGTGGACTTGGCCTATTTCTTCGTGCTTGACGATTGCCGAGGATCGGGAATCCCAATTTTGTCACGGCTTGATTCTTTGGAAATTCGATGTTATGTTTTTTTGGTCAGTGGATATTTCTGTATCTCCTGAAATGGCATCGTGCAGGTTCTCGTGGAGTTACGTGGGCTGTCGGAGAGACGATAAAATTCCTGACTTCGAGACCCGCATGATATCCGTTCTAACGGATGGGCTTGAATTCTTCATCCGAGTACAGGACTCGGAAAATGGTATCTGGAAATAGGATGATCTACAACGAGCGGGTTGCCGGCAGGCTCGAATATTGAAGGTAAAAGAAGTGAAAAAAAGTGGAGAAAGTAGAGGAAAGAAAAAATAACGAAAAGCATCGAGGAAGTGGAGAAAGCTTGACGCTCCGAAGCACGTGAAGTAGATAGAATATTTGTCCTCGCCTGAAATAAGCTTTTAAGGGAAGTTCAAAAGTGAAACGATCCGTTGGTCTTTGCGGCCAATTATACGAAGTCACTTAACCCGAGTCCCAGTTCTATTTCTCTTATTTCGACAGCGACGCTCCAATCCCGAATCGGTAGAACGACGAATATCGAGCCGACCCCAGGTACCGTAGCTCTTAGAAATATTGTAGACCCCGATGCTCACTGAAGCAGCAATTGCCGAAATACACTATTGCAAATTCCTTATTTATTCGCTTGCTCAAGAATATTCGCGAGTACAGTTACTTATTTATTTAGCTGTTCCGTCCCACCCCGATACGCGAAGTAAATTTGTCCGCAGACAGAAAGGAAACTCGAGACTCATAAATCGCAAATGCGGATATGTACGAGCCAGTCAGCATCGGTCAATATTTACGGGTTGAAATAGCACACCGAGGCCAATTTAGCTGTTAAATAAATATCGCGACGATTCAACCCTTTAACGGTGCCTAGGAGTCACCCGTGTAGAATAGAATGGCAAATAAAGAGACTGCTGGAGTTTGTTCAACCTGGTAGGAACGGAAGTGACGTATATGGAGACACGGCTCGTTGAGTCGCTTGAAAATAACTCATGCAGATCCGCCTTTCGTTACTCGGTCTGCTACCTGGACAGAAATTCAGCCACAGGGATTTCGTCCGTATAAAAGTCTATGCAGCAAATCTATATCATCCCACTATCGTCCAGCTTCCTCGGGTCCAGTTACGTTCTCGGAAGAATGTCCATTTAGAAAATCCATCTTTCCATCCGCATCTTCTTCGGGAAAAGGAAATAATTCGCGAAGGAAGAGTAAACGCGAAACCTGGCACGTCTCTCGAGCTTAATGGCGAGTTTCTAAGAAGTTTTCGAAGGTCGTCTCGGCGCCACCTTATGAAATCCAGAGATATTAGCGCCACGGTCCAGCAGCCACCAACGTCAACGCCATCGACGGTAACCCAGCAGCCCCCGTTTGCGCGCGTCCATTGGGCATTCGTGACGAGAATAGACGGTAATTCGTATGAAACAAATTGTCAAGAAACATCGGTGGACCACCGAAGCTTTTCGGGAAGCTGTATTTGACGTCACGCACGGCTTATTTCCGTCAGGCGCTTTCGAAAGCTTCGGTATATCGGGACTGCCTCGGAAACCCGTTGTTAAGTAATCTCTGCAAGATGCAACTAATTTCGTGTCGCTATTTTTGGGATTGCGACTATTTTAACCCGAGATGCCATTTCTGCGGCGATAGTGTGCTTCGAGGTATTTTTAACTTGTTCTACTTTTGTCCACCACACGAATATAGAACGAGCGTACGAAATATTCTTGGTTTCATTTTTCTTTTCTTTTTTTTACATACACCAAACTTCGAGGGATTCTACTTTGGAACGGATATCGTAAGGTCAAAGCTTTCTATGGTGAAACTCCGGCTCCATTGTCATCGAGACGCGGAGGGTCAGGTCGCGTTCACGTGCATTTATCTCCCGTAACAAAGGCATCAAGTTTCGTAACGGACTTCATCTTACACTCAGAGCGCCGCCTATTCGAATCAGCCGAACTAACTAGGTCTGAACTTGCACGCCTACAGTGTTCAAGGAAACGCTTGGGAACACGAGGATATTGGATTTTTGTGTTTTCAAAGAATTCACCAACTTTCCTAATAATCCTATATTCGGTGGATCTAACTTTTGTTTCTCGTACTACAATTCCCTTGTTGACGTAACTCAAAGAAATTGGAAGACCCAGACGATCAAGATTTGAGTCAGTGAGAAAGGGTGACGTCATGTCAATTTGGATATTATGGTGACATTTAATTTAGCACCATGGACGCCTACGACTTGACTTATGAGTCATAACCGCGCTGACCAAATACGTATGTCGTTCATATGGGTTAACCTTGTACGAAATTTTTCAATGGATAAAATTTTCTACAACGAAACGGTCGATATGTCGAATTAAGAAAAAAAAATGATTCGTTCGTGAGTCTCACTGATGTTTAATGTTCCAGGGTGGCGATGACTCGGATGAGGATACGCAGTGTGCGCTGAGCGAGAATTGGACGTTCGAGAAGAAGACGAGGCGATGGTCACGAGTGTGTGACGTAAATCAGGCCAACGTCGAGAGGCTTCAGGCCATAGCTGGACAGAACATTCCCTCCGAGGTGGGCTGCCTGGAGGATCGTCTCGAGGCCGAGGAAGCCGAGGACACGATGCTCGACACCCTCAAATACGGAAGTCTTCCCCCCGGACCCATTCCAGACGAATTGACCCCGAGGTTCCGCAGAACGGGATCCGAGAAGTTTCGTGACGGCGCCAAGGCACTTCTCAGGAGAGTCGAGTCCTTGAAGTCCCGTAGAAGGAAACGAAAGAATCGCGAGGGCGTCGTGATAAGCGGGCCCCAGGTCCTGGACGTGATGTCGATGCAGCAGAAAATGAAGGATCTGAACTGCGTGGACGTGTCGCCGACAGGAGCAGCGCCCGTGTCTTTCAATGATCTGCTCCCGGGATCGCCGCTTCATCTCCCGCCTTCGCCCTTGACATTGCCATCCTCGCCATATCATTTGCCAGCCTCGCCCCTGGCCAACGCAGCCAGCCCCTTCGGGGACGATTCCTCCAGCTACTGCTCGGACGGGTCTCAGGGCGGCGGACCAATTCCCACGCCGACCAGGACGAAGATGAACAGGGCTCGGCGATTCCTTAATCGCGGCAGAGAGGACTACGGGACTCTGAGCGATTCCGAGTGTCAGCCGACCAGCTGGCGGCACAGATATCTCAAGGATGCTAATAGCAACCACACGAAGGTTCTCGAGTACGTGAACACGCACTCGCAGAGTCCGAAGGATTCGCCGTCGAAGCCAATTCCAATAAATACTCGCGGCGGTAGCTTAAATCTTGGAAAGGAATCTCAAAGATACCGGGACAAGTTCTCGCAGAGTCAGGAGGCGTACAAGGAGGACAAATTCTTGGCCGCGAAGCGCGAAGATAAGCTTCACAAGAGCTTCAGACACAGCAGGGAGGATCTCTACAGGGAGACAAAGCCTCTTGCCAAGGATGTCACTGTCTACAGGGAGAAGTCGAGGTCCAGGAGTTCGGAGCTCGCCGGCAGCCAAGAGAGCAGCTCTACCGTAGCCAGTAGAGATTCCGATCAAGAGGAGGATTCTCCGAGACACAAAGGAACGGTTGTTAGGTGGCACAGCTTCCAAAGAGGATCTCTCTATCCCGAACCCCTGGATCCGCTTTGCTCGCGAGCGATGGCCTCCATGTCTTGCGGGCAGCTGCTTGTGCTAAGGAAACTGGCTCTGCTCAAGTTGACAGCTTGCATGGAACGGTATTGCCCCACTCATCGTACCGGATGGAATTGGGAACTGCCAAAGTTCATCAGGAAGATCAAGACGCCGGATTACAAGGACAAGACCGTCTTCGGCGTTCCCTTGTTGCTGTCCCTGCAGAGGACTGGCCAGGCTCTACCAAAGTGCATTCAGACAGCCCTCAGGTGGCTCAGGGCCAATGCTCTGGACCAAGTTGGAATCTTTCGCAAGAGCGGCGTCAGATCGAGGATACAGAAGCTCAAGGTGATGACGGAGACGCAGGGCGACAATATAAACTTTGACGGTCAACAGGCCTTCGACGTTGCTGATCTCGTCAAGCAATACTTCAGGGAATTGCCGGAGGCTCTCTTGACCAATAAACTCTCTGAAACTTTCATCGCTATCTTTCAACGTGAGTGCACTGTTGTTTTACAGACCTGAATGTCCTGAGGATCATTCTAAATGCGACAGGTATTTATTTAAGATTATTCATTGCAGACGTCCCGGCTGAACTCAGGCCGGATGCCGTCCAGTGCGTTCTGCTCCTGCTGCCAGATGAACATAGGGAAGCTTTGGAAACTCTTTTGGATTTCCTTAATCAAGTTGCCAGTAACTCGCCGTACAATCAGATGACAGCATCCAATTTAGCCGTCTGTCTGGCACCCAGCTTGTTTCACTTCAATCACAACAACTCTAACGTCTCAAACAGATCCAACAGCGTTTCGCCGCGTAGGAGAAAGACTGTGGGAATTCCAGATCAGAGAGAATTATCCGAAAATAAAGCAGCGCACGATTGTCTTTTGTATCTCGTGAAGATGCATCGTGAATTGTTCATGGTACGGAATCTGCTTAAAAAATGTTCTCTTTGAATCCATCGATCGATAGATGACAGATAAATCATACAAATATATTTATATTTATTCCAGGTTTCTTCGGATATGCTGACACAGTGCCACTTTAATTACATGGAGGAAAGCGTTCCGGTTGCCCTCGAAGAACTTGGCTCGGAATTGAAGCAGGACTGGAGAGGCTACTTGTGCGCCTGTACCACAGCATTGTTGAAGGAAGCGCGCGAAAAGTAAGTTTCAATTTCCTTAAGACTATTCTAAAAAAACTGAGCCAGTTACTAACGACAGCTATTATTCCTTCTAGAAGTCGCGGATGGGTCACTGTAAATAATTCTGCTGACGTTAGCGTGGAGGTGGCGTACAAAAAAGTTGGCGATGGTCACCCGTTGCGGTTGTGGCGTGTATCCACTGAAGTCGAAGCTCCACCGAACGAGCTTCTCCACCGCGTCCTTAGAGAGAGACACGTCTGGGATCCGCAGCTTTTAAAGTATAGATTGGTTACTAAGCTGGATTCCAACGTCGAGGTCTTTCAGTATGCTACCGGAAACATGAGCCCTCTACCTGCTAGGGATTATTGTGTCTTAAGGTAAGTCACTTGTCTTTGTCCTTTCTAGTCTGATCCACCGCCGCCGTCTTTCTCCTCTGTTTCATTCTCAACGATTACTTTTAACATTATCCAGATCCTGGCGAAACGATCTTCCTAAGGGCGCGTGTGTCATTGTCGAGACGTCAGTCGAACATCCTGAAGCTCCGGTAATGCTGGGCGGAACTCGAGCAATAGTTTTGGCCTCCCGCTATCTGATTGAGCCTTGCGGAAGTGGAAAATCGCGCATCATGCACCTGTCCAGGGTAGACACGAAGTAAGTAGGAATACAAGACAGTTCGTAATTAAATGATATTATTCAATCAATTTTATTCGATTTAATCTAAATATCTGTATTTCTTTTCTTTCTTCCAGAGGTCGCACTCCAGACTGGTACAAGAGTTACGGGCATATCGCAGCCCTTCATCTGAGCAAAATTCGGAATTCCTTCAAACACACAACGGATGGTCCTGAGAGTAAAGTCTGAGAAGAGATTCCCGTGCAACGCATGCCGTTGCACGGCGCTCAATCCGTCAACCAGGATCAGAGCGAACAGCAAAGAGATCATAGAGTACTCAAGGATCTTCGTCAAGTCCAACCTACCATAGACGAAGAGTAGCACCCATCGTAATTCTTTCATGGGCACAGAATACAAAACACACAAATGAAAACTTATTGGTCAGGTTTTGTAGAACGTAGTGTTAAACTCCTGGTACTTCTACTGAACAAATAGTGGAGTAGACTAGAGGGTGGCTGCATTCTGTAATCTGTAGTCAATGAGAGATTCGTAATTGATGCCGTCTTTTAGAATTTCTTCTGTATTCTTTGTACGTAGCTCGTTAGTGATATCGAGAATTAATTAATCATAGATCTCCCAATCCGAGTATCGTCGAAGTCGCTCGAAAGATCACGCTGATTACTCTAATCATGTATGGCATTTACGGTTGATCCAAAATCGTGGAGTCGTAGAGTAGTGCCATTTGCTGTAGGATAACAACATCTAGACTACGAAGATTTGAGTTAATTGTAGGCGAACACGTTACGTATACGGCTGGAGAGCGATCGAATGAAATTCTCGTATGAAATCCGGATTATTCCATATTGTGCAATGCTCCCATAAAGACGCGGCCATTTTATAACGAATGCAACACGATCGTATAATGATACGCATTACCTTGCACTTTTATATTTAGATTTTTGGACCAAATCTCATCATATTTTCATCTTCTTTTTTTCTTTATTATTATACTATACTATACTCTATCGCGGTATGATCATTATTTTTTTATTACTGACGAGTTCATGACTCAAGGACGACAACCTGTAGAAAGGAATTGTCAAAATATGTACCTATTTATAAATGTACCTTACTCACAAGAGATGACAATATGCGTGGACACGCATAGGCGTAATTCTAGACGACTTAGGACACCTGGGCGCTCGTACCCTGATTATTCATTAACATAACACAACTAATTGAATCGTGAAGTAACGACGAATGCGCTGTACAACAATTGATTGTTAGGGACATGGAAATTAATGATAAAAGTGATGTTTGAAGTAGAATCTTAGCCAGTTGTTAATCCATGGACAAATCGCATATCAGCCTCATGGCGTCGTTAGAGAATTTAAATTTAAGAAAAGCAATCTTCAATTTTTGGCTAGTACAGATAGTTTATTTTTCAGCCAAGGTAATAAACGGCGGGGAAAAGAAATGTTATATTCTTCGTCCCTCAGTGTGTTCAAAGTAGTTGGCTCTTTCAATATAAAGATATATATGTATAGAAAGACATAGGGACCAGTTTCGTTTGGACCGAAAAAAATTCAATGAGTTTCGCATAATACCCATTCTCAAATCGACCGTAAATATATTTTAACATAATACTAGTCAGTTACATTAGTGGAACCGTATACACATTGATAATATAAATGTATAAAAATCCTATTCCATAGCGTTATATCCAGATATTTAATTATTATTAATATTAATGTTATAAATATTATACAGTATAAGGAGCAGTTATAGAAATATATAATATTTTTGTGTCTAAAAAGAACGCCAGTAGCACCAGAGGGAAGAAACGTGTCTTCGTGTTTGTAATATGAACGTCTTTATTCTTGTAATCCATGTCCCGTTAAGTTGTAAATATGTATATTATTATATGATGATGATGATGAATATATATTCATTAAATGGCGATTTTTATTATCAATCCACGCTTTAGTTGCATGTTATTTACTTCGTCCACTTTCAGGAACTTCGGACCACGGCAAAGATCATTAAAATCTCATAATCCTACAACTCTGGAGCATGAAGTTTCCCTCTTTTTTTCGTTGTATTATAATGCTTCCCATGTCACAATATTGCATAGCACCGTCATACACAGCACATCACGCGTTCAGTTTAATCAATTTTCAACGTCGCCAAGGATACCGTAATAAACAAGGCGAACTCGTGTTTCCTATTCAGTTGTTCAGTACAAACGTTCAGAGATTCGGACGATTCCACGGATATTCATTTCAATAGAGAAAAACGTGAGTTGTCTGTCAACAGTGACACCTTTCAAAAGGAATATTTATAAATTTCCTTCTGACGCATTTCAGTTCTCAAGTTCAGTGAACTACCGGCTTTGAGAGGCTGGCGAGGGATTAGTGATATTTTTTTGAAAAATGGTTCGTTTACACGTGAAAAAGGGCGACGAGAGTCAATTCCTTTATGACGCAAGCGTGGAAGATGGTGTTGACAGTGTGATAAATAACATTACCATCATCTATAATGGTCGATTGAAGATTTCAAGAATTTGTTACGGTGAGAATTTTTCTAACAATTTAGTAACGGCTACTGTTTTTTAACTTACCAAAGATGACTTCTAATTGACTGCTATTATGCTAAAGAAAATAAGCAACGAAATAACTTGTCTGGAGTAGTCCATAGAGAAGTGCTTCAAAGGATTGAAGTGCACGGTTCATTCAAGAATCCATTAGCAATTCTAGAAAATATTTCATATAGGAGCTATAACTATTAGAAATAAGAAGTCGAGTTGAGAGTTTACGATCTCATTTATCAGTACCCGCGGGATATGCTGGTCGGCCGAGGCCACGTCATTTAATAATTATCAAGTCACCCTCAACTGTCTCTTTGCAAAAATAGAAATTGAAGAACTGGCCAAGCATGGCACTATGCTGCCACACGAGATGATGGGCCTCACGGATGAGCAAATCGAGGAGCTTAAACTGAAGGATGAATGGGCTGAGAAATCGACGCCGATGGGTGGATGGACGTTCAATAAGGATGTGATCGGTAAATCATCTTACCTGATTAGAGTCATGTATTTCATTGATATATAATTGTATTTACTGCATTCTTTACAATAACCATTGCATAACTTTTTGAAGGACGTCGAAGTGGTCGTCAGCCCAATGAAAAAATGCAGGAAATTTTGAAGAAAGCCATTCACGATGTTCGCGCGATGACTTCAAAGGTAAATTGATAACCACGTGATGTCTGCATACATTCCTGTTCGACTAAAAGCACTTTCTTACGATTTCTTTTATTTTTCTAATAGAAATTAGTTCAGCAAGACAAGCTCGTGACTCAAAAAATTGTTCAAGAAGCTCTAGACATTTTACGCGGTGCTGTGACTATAGTTTACCCCATGGGGTTGCCACCCCACGATGTTATACGACAGGAATTCGAAAATAACGAGGATCTCACTGGGACTCAAGCTTCGTTAGAGGTAATAAATCAACCACATAATGATACTCACAAATAGATACTTTGTATTCGTTTAACTATCGTTGAAAACCCGAGTATAGATTGTAGATATGATTTAACGAAACAGCGTGCACTATAAGAATTTCCATAAAGGTTATGGACGTGCAGACAGCCCAGTTATGGTTCTCTGGTAAAGAGATGCTGCGTGAGAAGAAACTAAAGGATTTCTTAGGACGCAACGAAAAATCCAAGGTGATCGTCAAACTTCACAAACGGGGCTCCGGGAAACCGGCGCGAGAGCCATTAATGTCGGAGGATGAACGTAAACAACTGATGGTGCACGCTTACAGGCGTCAGGAGGAACTAAAGGTAAGTCCTTCGCTGTTTTACCGGCAGACGAGCGAAAATATTTCAAAAGATATCAATTTGTCCATGAATGCACTTTCTTACGGTCGGTATTATAGGCTACCCCATTTTCGTGTTGTGCAAACTTACAATTAGAAACTACTGCGTCGTTCACAACGTAAGGTATTTAATAAAACCAATAAGCATAGTGAGCGGACAATAAAAAAAAATAATAATGACCGAGTCTCAAACCCGAGACTCCTCCACGCTTACCGAGGCACCATGCACGTGTGCCATTCAAGCATCGTGTTAAAATATTCTAGAAATTTTATTTCTTTTATTACCCACTTTTAGGGTTTGCTTAAGCTATACATTCGACCAGTCACAAACGTGGGACTGGTTCGAAGCACCTCGGTCCAATTGGTGCGTCGACGCTGAAATAAAACTTGGATCATGAAAACGACCCAATTAGCAATCTCCCTACTCATCTTTGATCAAGTGTTTAATCTTGACTTGAAAATTTTTCAAACGTGTCAACGTCAAGCGTCTGATCTCAGACGACCATTTCACAACTCCATTTTAGATTACACTTGTTAAGGCACGCCATTTAATTAAAAGGGTCCGTTGCTAAGTTAAAAAGATAAACTAGAAGATCAATACTCATCATTTATGGAGTTTACAATTATAACTACAGTGAACCTGTTGCCCCTACACGCGTCATCGATAACGCTGTATATGTACAGTCAACCTCATTAATGGTGACAACGGTGGACACCGTGCGGTGAGGTAAGAGAGGATGTTCGGGAGGCGCCTGCTTGCGTATATTGGCCTATGCGTGCAACGCAGAAAGCACTACGGTGCGCGAGACGCCAGAGCGTCGCTCGGTGCGTCCTTGCTGCACAACACTGGTGTAAGCGAGACGCCAACAAGGCCCCTCATGCGCAATAGGGAGCTTGGTGGGGGACCGCTCGTGTTCGAGCGCATGCTCTTGTTCTCTCTCTCAGACTAACGCTCTATGACGAGAACAGCTACTACCCCGATAAGAAACGAGAAGGAGCTATGGGACTTTCGGTACTGAGAATGAGATAGACTTTTCGCTTATCCATCCTCGTCAAACAGCGTTAGTAAGACAAAGAGAGATATATGCGACGTGGTGGCTAGGAACAAGTGTCCTAGCGTCTAACGCATTGAACCGTCCTACCGTGCGTCCTTTTCGCACAGCACGAGTATAAGCGAGACGGCAATAGGTCCCTGAGTCGCACCTATTCACAATGGGACCGGAAACTATAGAACTTCTTAAGATCTACTGAAAAAGCCTATTGTTGAACCATTTTTAACACATTTTTAAGAAAGTGCGGTAACATCTTGACACCCGTGTAGCACCTTAATTTTTGAAAAATGTTTCATCACTTGAGGGCACTTCACCATAAAGCCTAAAAGGAATAAGAAGAAGAAGGAAGAGAAAAGAAGAAAAAAAAAGTTAGTTGCACAGAAATATTGAATATCCAAAAAATTGAATAAAGGTTTCCAAATACTACTAAATATTATTGGATCTTGATATATTTTCAAAATTTATTCAAAATCTGAAATTGAGTCTAAATCAAAATCTCGTAGAATATACGGAGTATATAAGAATTGAATTTAAATTGTAGAACATCAAAAATAAATTACGTTCAAATTGAAATATTAATAATTTAGGTGTTTGGAACATTAAAATCATTAATTAAATCAATAAAATATTAA